GAAAGTCAGAAAGACAGCGTCGGCAGGAGAAGGAGGCTAGGAGGGCATCGATTGCAGATGAAGAGTTGCGCCAGCAGAGGGTGCGTGAGAGAGCTGCAGGGGCATCGAGCTCTGCCCCGTTGCAGAGGATCAGCCTATTTGGGGGCGTTGCGGCACCACTGATGGTGCGGAGCGTTTGATGAGCGCACTACTGAGGTGCTAGGATGTTGAGGTGGGCCTACTGAGGGTGCCCCCTGATGTTCCAGAGGGCTCCGGGAAACCGGACCCCCTGCTTGTTGATGATTCGCCGGCGCTTTGCGCCACAGGTTTGCTTCACTCAAATCCATTCACTTTTACTGTCTATGTATGCATTGTGGACAATTGCATCTATTTTTGTTGGGGGTGGGGTAAATGGATCGTGAGTGATAGGGTGAAGTCTGAGTAACCCAACTCATGAATCCTCTCTTGGGGTTTTCTTGCCTGTGTTCTTTTCCCCAAGGACTGTTTAATTTTTGTTGAACCGGCATGTCTTAGGATTGTGTGTGTAGAAGCATGATACAGAATGAAGCATGATGGCTTAGAAAAATGATACCCGTCAGATTCTGGGTTGTATGCTAGAAGTAGGCTACGATTAGTTGATTGTGTTGGCTCTGAGTATGACATAGTAACAATCAACTTGATTGCATGATTAAACCTGAGACTTGAACTGGGTATCTGATAATCTGATAATGAAACTTGTGCCAAGAGTGGGTGAGAATCGTTGACTATTCAAACAGTTTTGTGCAAAACTAGAACTTGCCCGGTTAGTCCTGCTAAGACAATTCAATCTAGAGGATAGGAAGTGATCATAGGCCGTTGTTCTGAAAAATCCACAAATTGCCTAGAAGGATTCAACCAAATGAAATAACTGTTCCCTTTGATCCAACTTTAGCCTAAAAATAAACCATTTCTTTCTAAAACCCCGAACTCACTTTCCCATAATCTACTATGTTGGCCCCGGTCCCTCCTTGGACATGTGCACTTTGACTTAGGCCAAAAGCCTAAGTTGAGGGTGGCTAATGTAAAAAGTAAATTCAATCTTGGCCCTGACTGACATCGGGTATTGTGAACCTCACTAACGGAAAATCCATAAGTTGAGGGTGGCTATGAAAGAGGAAACGGAAAGAAAATGGGTATTAAAAAAAAAAAAAAAAAAAAAAAAAAAAAAAAAGGGGGATGTGACTTGTTAAAAGGGAAGGAACAAATGGAGCTACAAAGTCTAAAGTCACATCCGTGGTTGAAGAAATTCAAGGGAAAGAAGGTAAAGCAATAATATGACAAAAATAGGGCAAAAAGAGGTTAAAAGCCTAGTGTATGACAAGGAGGGCAGAAAGTCACTAAACAGTACCCAAATGTACCACACCTACCCTGAGCCTACGTTACAAGCCAATAAAGTCCTATAGTGATCTTGGAGTCTAGTTTGGAGAGTCCAAGCAGTGAAAATAAGGGCAAGCTTATGGCAGTAAGCACTAACTGTATTTGAAATTACTTCTGAGCGTGAGTGTTGAATAAATCCTTGTACCATGAATGAAATAAATTTTTATGCAAAAGAGGATTTCGTTGAAGTAAGGGCACTAGTTACATTGTTGGAAAGTTGGTACCTGGGTGACAGTGAGAAGGTGTCTGTTGTGTGTCAGTTGGTTGGTCTGTGTCATGATGTGATCCACATGAGTTGGCTTATCGAGTCTAAGAGAAGAATGTGCACCCGAACAATGAGGAGGTAGAGAGTCATGTGATTGCTTGAGTTAGAAATGCTTGCTTCTATACAAGTGTCGTTTAGAGTCTAGTGCGTCGCTTGAGGACAAACAACGAATTTAAGTTGAGGGTGTTGATATACCGTGAGTTTACGGTATTTCTAATACATTTCACTTACAAGTTGTGTGTGTCTAGGGCCTTTTTATATTGGTTTTTATGTGTTTTATCATGTTTTGCAGGAAAGGTGTTCAGGCGCGAAAGTTTAGAGACAGCTGAAGAAATGCAGAAAAGGGCATCCACGGAGGTCATCTACGGACCGTAGGTCCATTCACGGTCCGTAGGTGAGGACCGTAGATCAGCAGGAAAGTGTTGAGGACAAATCAGGGAAATCTGACCAAGTGTGGAACCACGGTGCCCATTGACGGTCCGTAGATTGATCTACGGACCGTACTGTTGATCCGTAGATTGAGACTGCGAGGGTTCCAGTACCTGATTTTTGAAAATGCTAAGTATGGAGCTACGGAAGGTATTGACGGACCGTAGGTCGATCTACGGTCCGTACTGTTGGTCCGTCGTTTGCTTCAGAGAAGATGATTTTTTGGAAGATGAAATATTTTCTAAGTCCCGAGTGACGGAAGTGACTTACGGACCGTAGATCGATCGACGGTCCGTAAGTCAGTCTCGTGGATCGAAGACGCGTACCTGAACAAAACTTTCCTTAATTTGTTTCCCTTTTTATTTAGGATTTGTTTTCTATAAATAGGACATGTAAACCTCGTTTTTGAGGGTTAGACACTATTATTCTATTTTTGCTTTGTAACTTTGGAGATTAATTTGCAACCCTAGCAATTATTGATTTCTAAAGTTTGTTTTGAAGATTTTGGCTTTGCAATTCAAGTAAATTTCTGGGTTTATTATTTTCTTTAAGTAAGTTCATGATTTCTTCATCTACAATTATGAATTGTGTTCTTGCTAGTATGGGTAACTAAATCCACAACTAGGGTTGTGGGAACCATGATCGATTAACAAAGTATGAATAGTAAATAAGCAATTCTTGAATAGTGTTTTGCATGTATTGATAATTCTTTCGTTTAGAAGTCTTTTTAACGAGTGCACGCGTTAGAACTCGCCTTGTTACTACTTGCCGGACCAAGGAGGTAATTAACAAGAAAAGAATTATCAACATAGATTTAGTGTGATACTATCTAATAGGCTAGTGTCGATTGGTGCGAAGTAATAACTAAGCCAAACATCGATTATGATGTCTAATATGAGGTAAAGGTAAGGGTTAGTAAATTATACACACGTAGCCGGACCAAGGTGCGGGATGAAATTCTCTAGATGCCGGACCAAGGATTTAGAGATACCTAACTTATCACTTTGCATGTAACATACTAGAAAAGGATTGCTATTACTAGGATTACTGCGTTATGAGATTATGGGGAACACGTATACCCTAGTTATTTCTCTTATCTTGATAACAACCAAAGTTGAGTTTAATTATTGATTACTTACTAAGTTTTTACTATTTGTTTCACACAAGCACAAACCCCCTTTTATTACCTGTTTCTGGAAATAATTTGACTAATTGAATATAATTGTTGGTTAAAAGTAAAGTCTAAACCATTTTCCTCGTGGGATCGACCTCAACCTACAAGTTGGGTTCTTTACTTGATAACGATCGCTTATGCTTCTGAAAGGAAGTGTAATTTGAGCGTGTCAAATTTTGGCGCCGCTGCCGGGGAATTTTGGCTTTTAGATTTAGTTTTAACTACAATATTGAACGTTAGTCAAATATTTCCTAATTTTATTTTTTTTTTTCTTTGTTTTTGTCTCTCTCAGGTTCCGACCCTAGTGTATGCCAAGTACACGGAGCCAAGGCGAACCACTCACTCCATACGATCCAGAGTTGAACAGAACTTTGCGAAGAATGAACAATCAAGGACTTCCAGTTCATCCTATCGGAGGAAATCTAGATGAAGCAATTGAGTTACAGCAGCCAAGAGTAGTTGGTGGGGAAAACCGGGGTGTAGCTGAAAATCAATTGGGAGATGCAGTGAGAGTGCAAGGCCCACAACCGCATGACAACTATCGGGGCAACATCGATATAGCAGACTCTGATGGACCTATTGTCCTACCTCCTCTACCTCCAGGGCACACATTTGTGGTGACTAGTAGTTTGATGCAGATGCTTACAGCAAGAGGCTTATTTTCAGGATCGCCATCGGAGGATCCACATGCTCACTTAGCCAAGCTCAGGGTGGTTTGCAAAAGTTGTGTAGGTAGACCAGACTTGGATATGAGCGTCATTGGGTTACGAGTGTTCCCTCTGTCACTGACAGGTGATGCTGCAGTATGGTTCACTGAGCTTCCTTATAACTCAATATTCACATGGGACCAATTGGCGGAAGTGTTTAAAGCAAAGTACTATCCGGTGTCTAAAAAGCTCAATCACAAAGATAGGGTCAACAATTTTGTAGCATTACCTGGGGAGTCTGTGAGCAGCTCGTGGGACAGATTCACTGCATTCGTAAGAAGTGTTCCAAATCACCGTATTGATGAAGAGTCGCTGAAGGAATATTTCTATAGAGGACAGGATGACAACAATAAAGCCGTTCTTGACACTATTGCTGGAGGTTCATATGGTGATTGTACATATGCACAGATTTCTGAAAAACTGGAGAGGATCTCTCGCAACAATAAAGCATGGAGCACTAGGAGGACAGATACTGGGAGAAACACATTTGCCGTTCATAATGCAACTGTTAACTCTACAGATGATATCCGTGAGGAGATGGCTCAGATGAGGACAGAGTTGGGGTTAGTATTGAAGCATGTGAGTGGAGGAGCAGAAAAGGTGAATGCTGTAAACTACTTAACTAGAACTCCACCACCAGTTGAGGAGTGTTACTATGAAGAGGACACTTATGCGGTGAACGATCAGACGGGGGGTTTCCGACCAAACGCCCAAGGATCCAACACGGAAAATTGGCGCCAAGGTCAAGGGAACCAAGGTCGGAACTATGGAAATTACAACCGAGAGGGTCACTATGTCCGAGATGGGAACTTCAATCGCGACAACAACTACAACAGGAACAACTATGGCAATAGAAATGATCGGGTTGGACCCTATGTTCCCCCTCAAAATCGGGAATCTGGTGCTAGGGAAGTTGGAGGAAATATGACGCGTATCGAAGATATGCTGCATAAGATGATGAGAAGGTTTGATACAACAGATGAGAACGTGAAAGAGATGAGAAACGACTTATCTGGTATTGGTCAAAAGGTTGACGCCCATGCAGTGTCAATAAAGCATCTAGAGCAACAAATGACGCAGTTGTCTACTACAGTGAACCCGCGTCAACCTGGCACTCTTCCGAGCAATACCATCCAGAATCCAAAGAATGATGGACATTGTATGGCAATTACCACTCGAGGAGGTAAACAAACCATAGATCCACCTATGCCGTCTATGGTGGAAGTTGAGAACAGAAAAGAAGATGATGTGGTGAAAGTTAGAGAGGAGTCAGAGGTTGTGACAGAACAAGAAGTGGAGATACCTCAGAAAGTGGTTCCCATACCTAGACCTCCACCACCTTTTCCTCAAAGGTTAGTGAAGAAGACTGAAGATGGGAAATATCGCAGGTTTATCACTATGTTGAAGCAGCTTTCTATCAATGTCCCTCTGATAGAAGCCTTGGAGCAAATGCCTGGATATGCAAAATTCATGAAAGATATGGTGACAAAGAAAAGGTCTGTGAGTTTTGAAGATGATGATAGATTGCAGCATTGTAGTGCTATTGCTACAAGATCTCTAGTGCAGAAGAAGGAAGACCCTGGTGCTTTCACGATCCCATGTACTATAGGGTTATTACACTTTGCTAAGGCATTGTGTGATCTTGGTGCGAGCATCAACCTCATGCCTTTATCTATTTACAAGAAGTTGGGTCTAGGGGATCCAAAGCCCACTGCAATGCGGTTACTGATGGCTGATCGGACTGTGAAGAGGCCCATAGGTGTGCTCCATGATGTGCTAGTGAAAGTAGAGTCTTTCATCTTTCCGGCGGATTTTGTAATCCTTGACTGTGAGGTTGATTTTGAGGTTCCCATCATCCTTGGGAGACCATTTCTTGCCACAGGGCGTGCGTTGGTTGATATGGAAAAGGGACAGATGAAGTTCAGATTGAACAATGAAGAAGCAACTTTCAATATCTGTAGATCCATGAAGCAGAATGGTGAGCTACAAACAGTATTGCTATAACTTACAGAGTGGAGAGTGGGTCAGAGGTGCAAATTGAAGAGCGATCAGGTGTTGAGGCACTAGCAGCAGTCATGATGAATTTTGGTAGTGATGGTATTGATGAGTATGATGAGTTGGTAGCCGCACTTGATAAGTTTGAATACCGGTCCAAACCAAAGAAGTATGAGCTAGACATGAAGAATCGCGAGTCCCCACCCACAAGACCATCTATTGTGGAGGCACCGAAATTAGAGCTCAAAGTTCTACCATCACACTTGAGGTATGTATATTTAGGCGAAGAGAATACTTTGCCGGTCATCATTGCAGCAGATTTAAATGCAAGGCAAGTTGAGTGTTTGGTGACTGTATTAAAGAAGTTCAAGCGAGCGATTGGGTGGACTATTGCAGATATTATTGGGATCCCCCCCGGTATCTGTTCTCACAAAATCCAACTCATACCAGATCATAAGCCCAGTGTTGAGCACCAGAGAAGATTAAATCCGCCTATGCAAGAGGTAGTCAAAAAGGAGATCATCAAGTGGCTGGATGCGGGAGTTATTTATCCCATCTCAGATAGTAATTGGGTATGTCCTGTGCAGTGTGTACCAAAGAAAGGTGGTATGACTGTGGTTCCAAATGAACGAAATGAACTTGTTCCAATGCGGCCTGTCACGGGATGGAGAGTTTGCATGGACTATCGGAAGCTAAATGCGTGGACAGAAAAAGATCACTTTCCTATGCCATTCATGGACCAGATGTTAGATAGGCTTGCAGGAAAGGGTTGGTATTGCTTTCTTGATGGATATTCGGGCTACAATCAAATCTCTATAGCTCCGGAAGACCAAGAGAAGACCACCTTCACTTGCCCATATGGGACTTTTGCTTTCAAGCGGATGCCATTCGGATTGTGCAATGCTCCAGCGACCTTCCAGAGATGTATGATGTCGATATTTTCTGATATGGTGGAGGACACTATTGAGGTGTTCATGGATGATTTTTCAGTTGTAGGTGATTCATTTGATCACTGTCTAAAACATTTGGCCGAGGTGCTCAAAAGATGTGAAGACTGCAACTTAGTGCTGAATTGGGAGAAATGTCATTTCATGGTAAAGGAAGGTATAGTGTTGGGTCATCGAATTTCAGAGAAAGGTATTGAGGTTGATAGAGCTAAAGTCGAGGTAATAGAAAAGCTTCCACCACCTATCTCTGTAAAAGGTGTTAGAAGTTTTCTTGGGCATGCAGGTTTTTATAGAAGATTCATCAAAGATTTCTCCAAAATTGCACATCCCTTGTGCAAACTGCTCGAGAAGGAGAATAAGTTCTGCTTTGATGATGCTTGTCTTAGAGCATTTGGAGAATTGAAGGAAAAGTTGGTTACAGCACCTATCATTATTTCACCAGATTGGGAACAACCGTTTGAGGTAATGTGTGATGCGAGTGGAGTGGCGCTTGGTGTAGTATTGGGTCAAAGGCGTGAGAAAATTCTTCATCCTATTTACTATGCTAGCAAAGCTCTGAATGTGGCCCAGAAGAATTATACAGTGACCGAACAAGAACTTCTTGCAGTGGTTTTTGCATTCGAAAAATTTCGTTCCTACTTGCTTGGTACTAAGGTCATCGTGCATACTGACCATTCTGCATTGAGGTATTTGATGGCGAAAAAAGATGCAAAACCACGATTGATCAGATGGGTATTGTTGCTGCAAGAGTTTGATTTTGTGGTAAAAGATAGAAAGGGAACCGAAAATCAAGTTGCCGACCACTTGTCCAGATTAGAGGAAGAGGCCATGCTAAAGCTTGGAGATAGGGCTGAAATTAATGATGCGTTTCCAGATGAACAGGTATTGGCCGCTTCTAATGATTTGATTCCTTGGTTCGCAGACTTTGCTAATTATTTGGCAAGCGACATTGTGCCACCCGATTTGTCTTTTCACCAAAGAAAGAAATTTATGCATGATGTGAAGAAATTCTTTTGGGATGAACCTTATTTGTATCGTAGTTGTGCTGATGGGATTATTCGTCGCTGTGTGCCTGAGGTTGAAATGCTAAGTGTACTTGAAGCATGCATTCATCACCCGTTGGTGGGCATCATAGTGGTATTCGGACTGCACATAAGATTTTGCAGTGTGGGTACTATTGGCCTACCATCCACCAAGATGCTCATGATTTCGCCAAGTCTTGTGATCGGTGCCAAAGAGATGGAGGGATTTCAAAGAGGCAAGAGCTCCCTATGAATCCCATATTGGTGATCGAATTGTTTGATGTATGGGGCATTGATTTCATGGGCCCATTTGTGAGTTCATATGGGATGAAGTATATTCTGGTCGCGGTTGATTATGTATCGAAGTGGGTGGAAGCAGTAGCACTTCCCAACAACGAAGGTAAAAGTGTCACCGCATTCTTGAAAAAGAATATCTTCTCCAGATTTGGTACACCCAGGGCTGTTATTAGCGATGGAGGCTCTCACTTTTGTAACAAGTTGTTTAAAACACTACTTGAGAAATATGGTGTCCGTCATAATGTAGCCACTCCTTATCATCCACAGACTAGCGGTCAAGTGAGGTGTCCAACAGAGAAATAAAGCAGATATTGGCGAAGACTGTGAACGCCAATCGAACTGATTGGTCAAGAAAGCTTGATGATGCTCTATGGGCATATCGCACTGCATACAAGACCCCCATAGGTATGTCGCCTTACCAACTTGTATATGGGAAGTCTTGTCATTTACCAGTAGAGTTAGAGCACAAAGCTATGTGGGCAATGAAGAAGTTAAATCTGGACTGGGGCACTGCATCTAATCAAAGGTTGAACGACCTGAACGTGCTTGATGAGTTTCGCCTAAAAGCTTATGAGAGTTCGGCCTTATACAAAGAGAAGATGAAGAAGTATCATGATCAAAGAATTGAAAAGCGAGAATTTGTGGTTGGCGATCGTGTGCTGCTATTCAACTCCAGGTTGCGCTTGTTTCCAGGCAAGCTCAAGTCCAAGTGGACTGGGCCATTTTTGCTCACAAAAGTGCTCTCACATGGAGCGGTTGAGCTTGAAAATAAGGATGGAAAAAGGTTCTTGGTGAACGGGCAAAGGATAAAGATCTATTTGGGAAATGCTGAAACTGTGCAAGAAGTGATTGAGGCCTGCAATCTTGATGAAGTCTGAATAATCAAGATACCTGCGTCGTGCCGCGACGTTAAATCAAGCGCTGCTTGGGAGGCAACCCAAGATGTAAAATCTAGCCAATAATAGGGTTCTGTTTTACATTATGTAGTTTAGCTTTCTTTGATTACTTACGTTTTTATATCAAAGTAGGTAGGGGTTTCAGTATTTTAGTTCTTAGTGTTGGCTAGAAGTAATATAGGGTCCGTGTCCAGAAAATGTAAAAAAATAGCCTATTGGTTGCTTCATGTGCAGGTACACCACACAAGAAATCTGCAGAAAAAGGTCTGGTGCAGAGGTCTACGGACCCCATCGACGGTCCGTCGATTGATCCACGGACCGTCAATGGTATCCGTAGATCCCAGGTAAGTCCCTAACATTGTCCTAATATAATTGTGATCTACGGTCCTGATCTACGGACCGTAGATCGACTCACGGACCGTAGACGGGGTTTCGTGAGTCCACACCCTAGAGTTGAATGACCCGACCCGGACCCCCATTACTTAAAACCCCCATTGTTTTAAATCATTTCCCTTCCCCCCATTTCTCCCACAACCGTTTCTCCCACTAATTCAACTCCCCAAATCACTCCATAACCACCACATAAGATCCTCCCCTCCATAAATTCCCACAACCCTTTTCATACCATAATCAACCCACTCCATAATCTGATAACAAGGGTCCGGTGTTTGGTCAGTGACAAAAAGGTGACTCTTTGGTCTTGCTAAATCATAGTACCATCACGCAATCACCCCACTCCTTGTGCTTATAAGGTAATAGACTTTCTCTTCACGTTGAATTTCAATTCATAGATTGAATATAGAGGGTCGGGAGTGGGTCTTGACCTTGGGTAATTGTTAGATGATATTGCATGATAAACTTGAGTAGTACAATGCCCTTGAAATGATAGATAGTGATTGTATAGCATTAATTGTGATATGAGTTTATGTGATCGTAAATAGTATATGCTAGTTTCGACTTAGGGTTCCACATCTACTCTAAATTGTTGGGCATAATAATCGGTAGGAATCTTAAGAATGACGACCTAGCATATTTCAAATTGTGTATATGCTTGATTAGGTTGTGTTAATGTTGAAACCAAATGCCACAAATGTCTGATACCTGGCACTGATTGCTTCCACGATACCCCGGCTACGGACCGTAGATCCATCTACGGACCGTAGATGGGGTCCGTCATTAGATGCACCTGAAATTTACACAAAGTGTAAAACCACGGATGTGGATTACGGTCCGTAGATCCATCTACGGACCGTTCTGCACTTCCGTGGTTTTCATCTGCGACCTATATTTCAGACACCCTGATCCACGGAATAGATCCACGGACCGTAGATCAGTCTACGGACCGTAGGTCTCCTCCGTGGATGACTTCTGTAGCATCTGTCATTTTTTTTTGTAGACTTAGTTTGGTTCGTTACCAACTCTGAATAAGTTCTTTTGCTGCATATGTTTCGTTTTGGCACTAATGATGTTCCTACAGGTACCATGGCACCCAAGAAGATGGTCACCTACTCGAAACGGGGCAAGTCCAAATCGGTTGCCCCTAGTTTCCGGTTGATTGATGAGGACACCGAGAACGACGAGGACCCTACATACGTGCCCCTCAACCCACGGGCTTCTCGCGCTGCACCCAGAAGCATCCCCCGGAAGGTGCTCCCCGACGTAGTCACTGTCTCCCAGTCTGATGAGGAGCACACACTGATCGGGTCACCAACTGGGGCTGCTTCCAGTTCAGAGGGACCTATGTCCGGATCCGCGTCTGCTTCTGGTTCTGCTTCAGGCTCCCAGTCTGCCCACTCTTCACAATCAGAGTCTATCCATGCTACAGGATCCAACGCCAAATCATCCACAGGGTCTGGGCAGGATGACCAAGCAGCCTCGTCTGATGAGGCAACTAGCTCAGAGGCCATTCCTGCACCAAGGAATGATGAACCCGCCCCGATAGCAGGGGAGCTGAATAGGTGGTGTGTAGAGGGTCAATGGCAAATCTATCGGGATGCAAAGATGGTAAATGAAAAACAAAAGATGGCCCGATTAATTCAAGAGGAGCGCAGAGTCCTCACGGGGAGCTTGCATACTGTTCCAGATATTCACCGACTTTTCAAACTTCACAAGTGTGACTGGATGGCTCGAGACCCAGGGACGTATAGCGAGGAGATTGTCCGGGAGTTCTATGCTTCCTATGCAGCCACTCTCCGCGGGTCCATTTCCAAGCGGTCAAAGCCGTTAGCTCAGGCTCCGCTCACTTCCACCATGGTTCGAGGGTCTCCGGTGGACATATCACCTGCCACCATTAGCCGTTTTCTCTATGGTCCTACCACGGGCCACGCCTGGTCGCCTAACACTTCAGAGTTTGATTACCGCTGGAACATCGTGCGGAGTGGTGCCTTCCAGAGGAATGCTGACCAGCGAGAGGCTGTGATACTATGGCTGGCCCGGTACATTGCTGCAGATGGCGAGCGCGCGGAATGGGTCGCTGCTCCACGGTTGGGCATCCGGAAGGCCACACTGAACTTCGTTGCAAAATTCTTCTGGCTGTTGGTACGCAACAGAGTGTCGCCCACAAAAGCTGACAATCAGGTCACTTGGGACAGAGCGGTGATGGTTGCTGCATTGGTTGCGGGAGTGGAGATCGACTTTGCCCGAATGTTACTGGCAGAGATCCACGAGAGAGCTTTCAGGACCTCCACCACTTACCCTTTCCCCTGTCTGATATTTCACTTATGCAGGGACTCTGGAGTGCCGATCTGGCATTGTGACAGGCTAGTCCACCCTACAGGGGCATTGGACATCGGCCTTATTCGGGATGACGCGAATGTGGCAGCACCTCGCAGAGAGCCCCAGATTGAAGTACCCCCCTTGAGCTCCGACCTTGCAGACACTGTGGGGCAGGCACAGGGAGGTGACCCCATTATCCCAGACCACACCGACACTGTCCCAGGCTCCTCGTCTCAGGCAGCTAGTGTTGCTCCTAGTTCTTCCCGATCCACACCACCGTTAGGAGCGACGGTTGTCCCGATGGCCAGAGTACAAAAGTTAGAGGCGCAGATGGCCACACTGTTGCATCACATCCAGCCTTGGATGCAAAAGTCAATTGCCGAGTCCGAGGCTAGATTGGAGCGCAGGATGGAGGGGATGATGGACCGTAAGGTCCTGGCGATAAATAAGCGGCTTGACGCCTTTGAGTTGCGAGTTCTCGAGCGAGCAGTTCCGGCCACAGACTTATCTGCTTTGCAGGCTGACATAGCCAGCCTCCGGACTGATGTTGATGCCATTCTTGCTGCGCCTTCAGTTGAGACTCAAGCTGCCCCTACTGCGCTGGCTGATGATACAGTGTAGATGCTCTATTCAGTGGCATCACCGAGGAGGGGCCTGCACCGACACATGCAAAGGGGAAGCGGCACCGTTCTCATCGCACGGAGGAAGAGAAAGCTCAGAAAAGACAGCGTCGACAGGAGAAGGAGGCTAGGAGGGCATCGATTGCAGATGAGGAGTTGCGCCAGCAGAGGGTGCGTGAGAGAGCTGCAGGGGCATCGAGCTCTGCCCCAGTTACAGAGGTTCAGCCTATTTTGAGGGGCGTTGTGCGCACCTCGGATGGTGCGGAGCAGTTGATAGCGAGCACTACTGAGAGTGCTAGGATTGTTGAGGAGGGCTCTGCTGAGGGTGCTCCCGCTGATGTTCCAGAGGGCTCCGGGAAACCGGACCCCCCTGTTTGTTGATGATTCGCCGGCGCTTTGCGCCACAGGTTTGCTTCACTCAAATCCATTCACTTTTACTGTCTATGTATGCATTGTGGACAATTGCATCTATTTTTGTTGGGGGTGGGGTAAATGGATCGTGAGTGATAGGGTGAAGTCTGAGTAACCCAACTCATGAATCCTCTCTTGGGGTTTTCTTGCCTGTGTTCTTTTCCCCCAAGTGACTGTTTAATTTTCTGTTGAACCGGCATGTCTTAGGATTGTGTGTATAGAAGCATGATACAGAATGAAGCATGATGGCTTAGAAAAATGATACCCGTCAGATTCTGGGTTGTATACTAGAAGTAGGCTACGATTAGTTGACTGTGTTGGCTCTGAATATGACATAGTAACAATCAACTTGATTGCATGATTAAACCTGAGACTTGAACTGGGTAATCTGACAATCTGATAATGAAACTATGTGCCAAGAGTGGGTGAGAATCGTTGACTATTCAAACAGTTTTGTGCAAAACTAGAACTTGCCCGGTTAGTCCTGCTAAGACAATTCAATCTAGAGGATAGGAAGTGATCATAGGCCGTTGTTCTGAAAAATCCACAAATTGCCTAGAAGGATTCAACCAAATGAAATAACTGTTCCCTTTGATCCAACTTTAAGCCTAAAAATAAACTATTTCTTTCTAAAACCCCGAACTACTTTCCCATAATCTACTATGTTGGCCCCGGTCCCTCCTTGGACATGTGCACTTTGACTTAGGCCAAAAGCCTAAGTTGAGGGTGGCTAATGTAAAAAGTAAATGCAATCTTGGCCCTGACCTGACATCGGGTATTGTGAACCTCGACTAACGGAAAATCCATAAGTTGAGGGTGGCTATGAAAGAGGAAACGGAAAGAAAATGGGTATTTAAAAAAAAAAAAAAAAAAAAAAAAAGGGGATGTGACTTGTTAAAAGCGGAAGGAACAATGAGCTACAAAGTCTAAAGTCACATCCGTGGTTGAAGAAATTCAAGGGAAAGAAGGTAAAGCAATAATATGACAAAAATAGGGCAAAAAGAGGTTAAAAGCCTAGTGTGATGACAAGGAGGGCAGAAAGTCACTAAACAGTACCCAAATGTACCACACCTAACCCTGAGCCTATGTTACAAGCCAATAAAGTCCTATAGTGATCTTAGAATCTAGTTTGGAGAGTCCAAGCAGTGAAAATAAGGGCAAGCTTATGGCAGTAAGCACTAACTGAATTTGAAATTACTTCTGAGCGTGAGTGTTGAATGAATCTTTGTACCATGAATGAAAGTAAATTTTTATGCGAAATGAGGATTTCAGTTGAAGTAAGGGCACTAGTTACATTGTTGGAAAGTTGGTACCTGGCTGACAGTAAGAAGGTGTCTGTTGTGTGTCAGTAGGTTGGTCTGTGTCATGATGTGATCCGCATAGTTGGCTTATCGAGTCTATGAGAAGGAATGTGCACCCGAACAATGAGGAGGTAGAGAGTCATGTGATTGCTTGAGTTAGAAATGCTTGCTTCTATACAAGTGTCGTTTAGAGTCCTAGTGCGTCGCTTGAGGACAAACAACGAATTTAAGTTGAGGGTGTTGATATACCGTGAGTTTACGGTATTTCTAATACATTTCACTTACAAGTTGTGTGTGTCTAGGGCCTTTTTATATTGGTTTTTATGTGTTTTATCATGTTTTGCAAGAAAGGTGTTCAGGCGCGAAAGTTTAGAGACAGCTGAAGAAAATGCAGAAAAGGGCATCCACGGAGGTCATCTACGGACCGTAGGTCCATTCACGGTCCGTAGGTGAGGACCGTAGATCAGCAGGAAAGTGTTGAGGACAAATCAGGGAAATCTGACCAAGTGTGGAACCACGGTGCCCATTGACGGTCCGTAGATTGATCTACGGACCGTACTGTTGATCCGTAGATTGAGACTGCGAGGGTTCCAGTACCTGATTTTTGAAAATGCTAAGTATGGAGCTACGGAAGATATTGACGGACCGTAGGTCGATCTACGGTCCGTACTGTTGGTCCGTCGTTTGCTTCAGAGAAGATGATTTTTTGGAAGATGAAATATTTTCTAAGTCCCGAGTGACGGAAGTGACTTACGGACCGTAGATAGATCGACGGTCCGTAAGTCAGTCTCGTGGATCGAAGACGCGTACCTGAACAAAACTTTCCTTAATTTGTTTCTCTTTTTATTTAGGATTTGTTTTCTATAAATAGGGCATGTAAACCTCGTTTTTGAGGGTTAGACACTATTATTCTATTTTTGCTTTGTAACTTTGGAGATTAATTTGCAACCCTAGCAATTATTGATTTCTAAAGTTTGTTTTGAAGATTTTGGCTTTGCAATTCAAGTAAATTTTCTGGGTTTATTATTTTCTTTAAGTAAGTTCATGATTTCTTCATCTACAATTATGAATTGTGTTCTTGCTAGTATGGGTAACTAAATCCACAACTAGGGTTGTGGGAACCATGATCGATTAACAAAGTATGAATAGTAAATAAGCAATTCTTGAATAGTGTTTTGCATGTATTGATAATTCTTTCGTTTAGAAGTCTTTTTAACGAGTGCACGCGTTAGAACTCGCCTTGTTACTACTTGCCGGACCAAGGAGGTAATTAACAAGAAAAGAATTATCAACATAGATTTAGTGTGATACTATCTAATAGGCTAGTGTCGATTGGTGCGAAGTAATAACTAAGCCAAACATCGATTATGATGTCTAATATGAGGTAAAGGTAAGGGTTAGTAAATTATACACACGTAGCCGGACCAAGGTGCGGGATGAAATTCTCTAGATGCCGGACCAAGGATTTAGAGATACCTAACTTATCACTTTGCATGTAACATACTAGAAAAGGATTGCTATTACTAGGATTACTGCGTTATGAGATTATGGGGAACACGTATACCCTAGTTATTTCTCTTATCTTGATAACAACCAAAGTTGAGTTTAATTATTGATTACTTACTAAGTTTTTACTATTTGTTTCACACAAGCACAAACCCCCTTTTATTACCTGTTTCTGGAAATAATTTGACTAATTGAATATAATTGTTGGTTAAAAGTAAAGTCTAAACCATTTTCCTCGTGGGATCGACCTCAACCTACAAGTTGGGTTCTTTACTTGATAACGATCGCTTATGCTTCTGAAAGGAAGTGTAATTTGAGCGTGTCAAATTTGGCACTTACCTCGCCAAGTTTTACAAGACCTCCAGTTAATGTATGAGTCCAAACGGCGGTCTAAGACGTCATCGCCGACCTGGTCGACGATTCGCCAAATTTCTCCTAGGTTCACCGAATTTTACAGACTCTAATTTCAAAATGACTTGAGTCCAATGTCGGTTCAAGTCGGGATCGTTGACCTCTTCGGCGAGTCGCTTACTGGACTTTTGCTAACCAATCTTATCTTTTCAAACATATTCTACACTTCAACCTGCAAAATCAACACACGATTATGTCTAAAACAAAAATAAAGCGATAAACACTTGGGTTGTTGTAACAACCCTAAAAATGAAATAGGAAGAACTAGAGCCTCTCATGTGTTTTAGTAGTGGTTATCTTGTTTAAATGATGAGTTTTGGCTTTAGATGTTTAGTTTAAAGAGTTTTGAAGTCAAACGTCAAGAGACGACCATGACGTTCGGAAACTAGTCTTGGGAGCTAGTGTGTCCTAGTGTTGTGTCGTCAAAGTTTGATGTGTTGTTTAAGGATGAAATCATGTGGTGATCGTTCCTATGTGTAGTAGTCATGTGTAGGGGTTAGACGTCTGGGTACGAATCCCCAAGGACCATCCAAGGGGCCCTTGAGGAGGACCCCATCTTTGGACAAGAAGCTGCCAGGGCAGCATGATCCACGACCCCAAACCACGGCTCGTAGATCCATCTACGACTCGTGGGTCTTGGGCATGGACCAGGCCTGCAAGGGCCTGCAGGTTTTGAGCCACATACCAAAACCACGGTCCGTGGCCTAGTGGGCGTGGAATGGACCTATAAAGTTGTAAGGGACACGATCAACTTAGGGGTGAGTTGGTAAATTCACCCCTAGTCCTAATTAATATATGCGTCATTGTTTAATGTGTTTTTAAGTATTTTAAAGGTATTTAAATATTTGTATTGTATTTTAGAATTCACTCTTCATATTTCCCAAAAACAAAACCCTTCTCTCCTAAAAAGTTCTCTCTAGAACTCCATTGAAGGGTTAGGTCAAGTTCAAGCTACGGTTGAAGGTTTCAAGTGTTTTCTTCTCAAAATTTGTGGGATTCATGAAGGTTAAGGTATGGGGATCCTTTATCCTTGATTATTCTTCCTTTCAAAGAGCTCAATCCAAATGTTTTCAAAGTTCTTCCAAAAACACAAAAACCCTAATTTCGATTCTAAGCATGGGTTCTTGCATTAAATGATTTTTAATGATGATTTATGCTATTATTGATGTTTATTGATGGTTTTAAGAAAGAAAATTCCATGAACCAATGTCTTTCCAAGTTTCCTAAATTTGGCTTATGAAGTAGGTTTAATGTTTATACTTGAATGATGATGGAATTATACTTAGATTGAGTTGAATAATTGTTTCCTATTATCATCTATGTTTATCCATTGTGAATTGTTGAAGAATTGAGGAATGTTGATTATGGCTTTGGAGAATGGTAAGTTGACCTAGCTTCATTGTAAATGTAGAATTGATATAGAATTGGGATGGATTGATGTGTGATTCACTTATGGTGGAGGTGCTTATATGTTGATATTATTGTGAATTGTAGCCATGAAGGCATTGATGAAGTTGTTGTATAATGTTGGAATATTGTATTATTGTGAATTGAGACCATGAAGGGCATTATATGAGTGTTATTATATTGTTGTATTATTATACACATATGAGGCTATATGTAAAGTCCTATATGAAGCTATATGTAAAGTATGTGTGAAGCTATAATGTGAAGATGTTCTAATGGTATTAATGTGATATTGTATAAAGTGTTATTATGCTAATGTGAAAGCTTGTTTCTCTTGAAATGGTGATATATGGTGATGATGGACTATGATGAGTCTTTATAAGATGATGTTGTAGCTCATATTCTAGACTTGAGTATCTTGTCTTGTGTCATGAAAGCTTGATTATATATATGAATGCTTGGGTGGGCTATGACTCAGTAATGGAGCTCTTTCTATGAATGCTAAAAGAGTAATTCTAGGCCAAGACTTGAATTGGTAATCTTAAGCATAGTGCCTTTTTCATGAGTCTAGCTTTCCTAAGTAAATGTATAACCTTGAAGGATGGACCTTAGGGTGATGTTCCTTTCTTGAGTGAAATGATAGACTTAGAGATGGATAGAGCCGAAACGGCATGAGAATCCTTATCTAAGAAAGTCAAATGAGCTATCCTTATGAACCTAGATTGGCTATGACTAAGAAATGGGGCCTTTCTTGGGAAGAGGTACTATGAGTTGGTTGAACTAGAAAAGGAACCCTCTCTAGTACATATGTGATTTAATACTCTATGGAAACCAAGGCTAAGAACCGAGTGGATGGTTAGGATGGTGGCCTAGTTGAGCATGAGATTAGGCACAATGAACATCCTTGGACATCTCTTAAACCATGTGCCAACATGGGTTGCTTTTAGTTCTACCCTTGGCAAGTAGAACAACCTTCACGGACTAGGATAGACTCCGGATTTCATACCTTGCTAGTGTGGTCTATGTTGGTTAAGGCCTATTTCCATCATATGGGATATGCACTCTAGTATTGGATAGGTTCTACAACGTGTAGGTAGTAGTATGGGATTCTATCTACACATGGCACGAGTAGGCTTAGAAGATGCTAAAGTGAGTTCCCTAAGCCTTAGGGCTATTATGTGATTGTTCCCTAAGCCTTAGGGCTATTATGTGATTGTTCCCTATATGCTTGTGTGTCTCTTAAATGGTTTTATAAAGAATGTTGACTTGTCATCCTTTTAATATGTTGCATATTTCTCTTATATTAAGGAAATGAACTATTTAGCATGTTGTATTGAAATGTAAAGGTTATTGTCTAATGTGGCCTTGAGGAACACTTAGGTGTGCTTGAAGAGGTTGTATGGGCGGCCACTTCATGTTTCACTTAGGTGTGTCTTAGGGTAACTTTAGATGGAGGTCCTAAGATCATGAAATGGGTTATTTGACTAATATGTTTATGTGACGTATATTAGTACTAGTTATGCATGATGGCTTGTGATAGGAAGCATGATAACTGGTAAGTTCACGTTTGGTGGACTTAGGATGATGCCTTAGTGTGGATGGTGGTATGGGACGCTATCCATACATTGCACAAAGTGTTGTCCAAAGGTTACTTGAGGTAGATGGTTTAAGGTGAAGGAATGGGTTATGTGTAGAGTATGTGCTAAAGTGGTTAATGACTTGCATGTTGGTTAGGGTTGAGTATTGTGACTCTTATACTTGTATTTTCATGAAGTTTTACCAAATGACACAAAATCATGTTTCTCCAATATTGTCCTTTTTAGCATGTTTTTGCATGGTTTCCATACTTAGTACTTGATTGTGCTAACCCCTTTCTTTCCCTTTTGACTAAAGTGTAGGGATTTGGAGATGTTGATATTCCATGGTTGATGGATAGGTTTCTAATGTGTTTGAAGATGAAGACTTGGTGAGTCCTCATAGATTCGAGGACAATACCCAACTTGTTCCTCTTTATGTCTTTTTAGTATTGTTTTGGTTGTGTATGGGCTTAGTCCCGATTGTTGTACTCTAAAGTATTAGATGTTTTTGAGACATCATGTATAAAGTCTAGAAAGTCTTCCACTTGTTATTTAATGAAAGTATCTTCGTGTGTGAAGAAAGTTTTTAATTCCTTATGGTTTTTAGTGTCTATGTGATGAATGAATGCTAAGAGGCTTGTATTAGACCTCTGAGAGGTCGAGTACGCCGGTTACGACTAGGGGGTGCTCTCGAGTCGTGACAGTTGCCTCCACAGAAGCGCCTTAGTTAACGTCGTCGCATGACTCAAGTCTCCACTTAAATTCCATTTGTGGGGTTTGCCTTATTTTCATAAGGCAGCCCTTCTTCTGGCTCTGGGTAGAGAGAAGACAACACTTGGTCCATTTGGGACTCTTGTAGCTGAATGAACACGGAATGAGAGGTTATCATCTGATTTAGCATTAAGACATTCTCTTTTATCTCCTCCAACACTCGGTCGTGCTCTTTGACTTTGTATAGGATGAGTGAGAGGACTTCTTCAATTTGCCCACCTTCTTCCTTCTTCGTCCTTCGACGCTCGTGAGGGGGGATGTACATGTCCTTCTTTTTGGACACTTCCTCCAATTCCATGACTTTTTTGGCCAAGACATCCAATTGAGTCAACACTGTGGCCAATTCTTGGTCTTTTTCTGTCTACTTGTTGATCTTAATCGTGCCATCAAGTAGTCGGGCAACTGTTTCATAGGGTTGTTGTGTCAAACAACCTGGAAAGAGTTGATCAGCTGCACTTCTATTTTCGGGACCAAGACCTCTCTATAAGCATTCTAGAAGCATCTTTTCTGGAAGTCCATGAGTTGGGAACTGCTGCAAGAGGTCCTTAAATCTTTGCCACAACTCATAAATGGTCTCACCCTCCAATTGCTTGAAGGTTAGGATGTCATCCCTGAGACTCATCAATCTCAAGGGAGGGTGATCTATTTGATCACTGTTGCTACCAGATAAGCTCAATTTCTCTGCTTAACAAGCAATACGAAAACCAAAACTAAAAGTAAGTACATTCAACTATAACTAACAAGAACAAAATTCAACTTAACCAAAGAATATTAACAAACACCACTCCCCGGCAGCGGCGCCATTTTGATTAATAATGTTTCAAAGACACTTCATCCTATTTTAAGCGTCAACAATCGTTAGTTAGTAATATAACCCAACTAAATGAATTTGGGTCGAATCCCACAGGGAATAAGATTCAATAGCAAAGTACGAATATGTTCAAGTCAATCATAGGTATAGACACTGTCGATGAAAAACATAACTCAAATTAAAGGGTGACACAAGTGTCAAATAACATGGGGGGTTTTGATTGTAATTATCAACTACAACAACATCAAATAACACGAAGTAACAAGTAATGAGACGGGTTTTGGGGATGTGATTGGATTATAGGCTAAGGTAGACAAATAGGTAATTGCAATTGTTAGTAAATAGCTGAAAATCAGTGAATAAGCTAGACTTTAGTGGGGATAAACTTTCTCTCGAACAATTTCCCCAAATCAAGTTGGTTTCTCTCGAACACCAACAAGCAGCAAATAAGAACAACCTATTCTTTAGTCCATTCACTCTCTTGAGCTGAATGTGTGGAAAAGGATTTAGGATTCACTCTCTCGAGCTGAACCCATGAAAACCCAATACCCACAGACTATCAATTCAATAATCTTGGTTTTAAAACCTCTCTCGAGCAGGACAAAAACACGAAGGTAGAGTTGCATTTGCAACTACAACCCTTTAAATTAAACCACAATTACTCATTGAAATCACTTCTAAACAACATTTAAACTATCAATTAGAAATACCAATAAGCTAAATCAACCCATAATCACACCCTAAGAATTGGAGTTTTAGCTAACCATCATAAAAAGATAGAAATTGTTACCAAATTGTGTTTCCATCAACTGGGTAAGATTAATTTCGTCTTTACAAAGGTCCAAATTGAAGAATCTCAAAGACCCACTTCCAATTTCTTAAAAATGGAAAATTTCAATTCTTCAAAGCTAAGGAAAAGTTTGTCTCAAAACTCAGAGTTCCAACTCAAAAAATGATAAAAATGCTATATTATGAAACTAATTTTTATACTAAATATTCAAAAATGCATTTATAGTCGCCAAAAATATGCTGCCAAGGACCATTCCACGTAGTAAGTCGGGATCGCCCATCAACTCGGCGATCCACCCTTTGGTCTGTTCCATTGCCTTCTTGCTTTGGCCTTCAGCATCCTCAAGTTTTGTAACATTGGGCGATCCAACACTGCATCGTAGAACCACTCGGTGACACATCGACTGCTCATTTCTCTGTCAACTTGATTTTCTCCTTCAGGGCTTGGCACACTGGAACTTTAGGTGAGATAATAGTCATTCAGTGACTCGCCCAATGTATTAGGCAATCAACAAGCGTTTTCTTTCTTCGTTCTTTCAGTTGCCTTATTCCTTTTTGTGCATTAGTGTCCATCCTTTGTTCCTAAATCCATATACCTTAAAATCAAGGATTTTACATCAGTTATTGGCACAAAACAAGCATTTGAGGACAAGAAATCTATCCAAATAAAGCCCTAAATGAGTCAAAATCATGGACTAATCATAGAGCACGATAGAAATGGACAATTGAAGGTTGGAAAAAGAAGAGAAAAATTTTCTATCATAAGGGATGCAGGCTACTGGTCCCCTGAATCCCGCCACAGCGGGATGAGGGATGCCACCATAGCGGAATGAAGCCCGCTAGAGCGACCTTCATCTAGGACGAACACCAAGCGTGATCATGGCGCCTCTTCATCCCAAAACCTCTATTTTCGACAGAAATTCAGCAGATCAGAGTATATAAACTACCCTAGAACCTAAATAAGCAATTATTTCAGCAAAATAACTCCTAAATACCCCTCAAATTTGAGTTTTAAGCAAAGACACCTTCAAACTTGCCCCACCCATTTTTGTAGTAATTCAACCATGTTTTTATGAAATCCTTATGCCCAGGACGTTGGGTACGTATGGGAAGTGCCCATGCTACATTTATTATATCAAACAAGCAACCCATTTCATTTTCAAAAAACTACCCCCAAAAACCTATTCTACCCAATCTATTAGTGTCATGCAATCATTGTTAGTTAAGTGTTGAAGTGAAGAGAATACAGAGCAAGATCATTACCTTATAATTGACGTCCGGAAGAAAAGTGAATTGAGAGGGTTTTTGGAGAGAGTTTGAGTAAGAAAATGAGAGAAATGCGGAAAAAATTTCCCCCTTTACTACCTCCCGATCTCTTGCTTCAGCGGGAGATCCCTCGCAATAGTGGCCCTGCCTTAGCGGAAGGGCTGCCGCCCAGGCGGGGTCAGGCTATGAAAATTGGACGCATTCTTTCGATTTAGGTTGGTTCAAATTCTTCTAATCCTTGAGTATAAAACCTTTCGTGTACCGATTATCCGAAGAGTCATCATTCGTTGTGATCCTGTAGTGGACAAATTCTTAGCTTACAAGTACTCTAAATTAGGGTGTGTGACGATCAATATATTAGTCGTTCGGGGATGAACGAAGGGTAAATTGGTATCTATCGTAATGATCTGAACTGTCGTTATTTAGGAAAAGAAAAAAAAATGGAAAATTACAAGGCCACTGTCCCGCTAGGGCGGGACATATGCCGCTAGGGCGGCGGCACTAGAGTAGAGTAAGTTGGCGCCAGAGAGGGATAGGTGAGACAGAATGTAAATAACACGAAATCCTATTTCCTACTTCCTAAAATACCTAAATTAGTCGTAAAACACTCTAAAACCCCCTAAAAAGCTATTCCAAGCTTGGGAAAGAGGGAGGGAGAGATTTCTAGCATGAAGATGTCGATGGATTGCGGATTTCCGGTCAAGATCACCGTCATGAATCCTGGAAACAAGAATCAAAGACCATAACTCCGTGCAGCTATTTGGCGCCCAAGTAGGATAGGTTTTATGAATTGAGTAGCTATAAATCTGTGTTCAGTGCGTAATATATGTAAATCAATGGTAGGATTATGTGTAGGCCCTTGTGTACCGAATGAAATATGGTTAAATCCTAGGAAGAAGCCTTAGATGATGAACTAGGGTTAGGTATGGTTGAATTAATGCTTACATGATATACGTGGATGAGCAGTTCATTGGTGATGGTTGTGATTATGTGATTGTGGGTGGTAGGTATGTTCTTGCTTCCTTGTATTACGTGTATGAATGTGAACGAAGCTTGTTGATCACACCTAATGTTAATCAGTATGAACGAAGAACTATATGATATGAATCACCTCTTTTTGTATGATTGTGCTAGTGATTGTGGATCGGGATTTGCATTCGAACATACTCACTTGGATCGATTTCCATGTTCTGGCATAAATATGGATATGTTGCCAAGTTCTAGTATAATATTTGGATCAGGTACCACGTTCCAATATGCTAACAGTTTGGGTTTGGGTTTGGGTTCCATGAGAGGACTAATGATTTGATATAACTGTGATGATTGAGAATTGTGAAATTGAATGTGGTCCGTAATGATAATGATATTGTGATTTCCTGGAATGGTTATATGTTTATGAGGACTTAAATCCGACTGTTCTTTTGTGTCGAGTGAACTTGTTGCGTATAGTATTATCGAATGAATGGGAAAGGCCAAGGTTTCAAGGGTCGAATAATTAATGGCAAGCAAGGGATGTCCATAGGTTACAAAGGAGATTCATGGTCGATGGTTAGGAAGCTAGATATAATGTACTATGAGGTAAGGGTTGGGTGATAGGAAGAGAAAGTAAATGTACTTCATCGTGAGTGGCTAGTGGGATTGCTGGTAGTTGTATTTGTGGACTCTTCTATGCGTTAGGATGCTTTTGGGCTAAGATCAAGAACCTAGTAAGTAGATTGACTAGTAAGGTGGTTAGTAATAAGGGTATTAGTGTAATTTGGAGGTATTCGAGAGAGTGAAAATGTGGAGAAGCGAAGGGCTTATTGCATATTTGTACTAGTTGTTTCCTTATATTATGCGGTGGGCGTTGGGTTGATCAATGATGCCTACCAATACGTTCGATTTGTACTGATACTACTCTTGCTATGCCTTTTTGGGCATAGTTTGGCCGGTGATGTTTCATTATGTGAAGACGAAGAAATCTCTAGCAACTTCTATTTTCCCTTCCGCATGGTAGGAGCTATGTCATTTATTATTATGCCCAGTTTGTACTCTTAGTAGCTCTTGTACCTATTTAGACTAGATCCTTGGGGTGTTAATTATTTTACAAGTCTTAACCGAATTGGTGTTAAAAAGTCCCTATTTATAAGATTTCGTTAGTACATTTTAATTTTGTTCTTTCTTTCTTTCTGCATGTTGTAACTATTGGGATAAGAGGGTACTTAGGTTGTAGTATGTAGGTGCCTGCACG